TAAAGACATCTGAGTCCTATGTCTGAATAGATATATAGTGATAGATAATGTATGATAAAAATTGTACTAGCTATAACTAATATACTAATAAAGACTTGAGGGCATGACCTCACCTTAACAATTAAAAAAAAATAAAAAAAATAAATTATAAATATATTTAAAGATATATTAACTAATAAAGCCAATTTGGCTAAGTGATTGACCTTATTAATAAAAAAATTAAAATTAAAATTTATTAAAATAAATTTATTTAAAAATTAGATATTATAAATTTATTATAAAAATTATATAATAATTATATAATAATTAACTAATTAAAATACTATTATTAAGAATTTGAATTTATTATTTTAAAAGTATAGTAACTCATTAAAGTGAATAAGTTGTCAATCTTCTAAGTAATAGGTTGTAAGTTTAAAATCTACTAATAGTGAAAATTTAGATAATTATCTATATAATATATAGATAGTATTATAGTAACAGCATTCTGTTAATTAGTTAAAATAAGATATCTGTAATTATGATTATATTAATATGACTAATAAGTTATGGTTCATTTGTATAATCTTGGTTATACAGAGAAATACAAACTGATACTAGATAATACAATCTCAAAATAAGTTCTTATAATCATATAAATATATAAAACTAAAAAAAACCAAAATCTATTTAAGAAAATCTGAATAAAGAAATTATATAAATCTAGTTAGTAATATCACTATAAAGTTAAACTGAGAAATAGATACTAATATAAAAAAATCAGACAGACAAAATTTCTAAATAAGAAGTATTATTAACTAGACTGTTGGTTTAAAATAAAGAATTAAGATAAAACTTAATATACTAAAAACAAATTATAATACTTTTAAGCTATTTAGATTGAAAGTCTAAAAACAAAACAAAGATATATTAAAGTACTAAAAATATACTTTAAAGTAGATATTGAAATATAGGTAAACTTCACAAAAGCAAATTCTTGTTAATGATCTGAAAGTAGATAAGTAATTAACAAAAGAGCTTTCTGAAACTTATTAACAAATATTATACTTTAAAATATATATTGACTTAAATAATAGTTTAAAAAGAAAAGATACTATACTACTTAAATAATATACTAATTAAGTATATATAGGAGGTTTGTGAGAGTTAAATGATTAATAAAATAAATAATTAAAAAGATTAAATAAATAATCTTCTAATAAATCATAGATACAGCATTTAGTATAGAACTTTGGAGTAAACTACTTAAATATATAATCAAAAGTTGTATATGTAACTAATTGTACTCTTATTTTTATAAAAATAATTGTAATACTAATCCAATATATATTAATAAAATAACTGCTATAAAGTATGACTTTTAACAGTAAAAAAAACAAAAAAAAATAATTTATTATATTTACAATATATACAAGTATAGTTTTTTTAAAATAATAACTATTATAAAATTTTAATATAGAAGTTTGGGTTTTATAGCTTAGCAAATAAGTTTTTAAATTTTTTACAAACAAAGTTAATAGTTTAAGTTAAGCTGAAGACAATTTTGCTTCTGTAACTTATTAAAACCATTAATTAAATATAAAGCTCTATAGAAAAATCCAAGTTCAGATGCAAATTTGAAATAAAGAAATTTTTAAAAAAAGACCAATTATAAAGTGCAGATACTATGCAAAATAGCATATTGCAAAAAATTATAATTATAAAATATTGTATATATAAGTTCTAAGACTAAGCAGCACTAATATTTTTACATCTTTTAATGTAGACAGTACTAATATTTTTATATCTAACTTGTAAGGTACTTGCTTAAAAGAATAATTAATAAATTGTGTAAATAAATTCTAATTAAGATTCAAGAAAAGGATTTAATTAAAAAAATAATTTAAAAATAACCAAACTGAAATAATAAAAAAAATAATAAATATAAAAATAGTTTGTAGTAAAAAATTGGTCTGACCAAAATTAGAAACATCTTTAATATAGCTAAATAATCTAATTATAAAAAAAAAATCTTGAAAGTTGATATATAACTTTCTTGTATAAAAAAAAAGCACCAAATTAGATTCTAATTATATCTATATAAAAGTTTAAAATAAACAAAACTAAGATCAATTAACTAATATGAATAAGATTTGCAAGATAGTATAATATTACTAAGGTTAGTACAACTTTCTAAGCATAAACAGAATTCTTTTGCAAATATTATTAAACAAGTTAGAAGCTTGCAATATATAGTAATATAATATTACTAAAGTTAGAAAAACTTTCTAAATATAATCAGAATTGTTCTAATTGTAAGTATAATAAGTTTTAGTTTTTATTATAAAAGAAAGCATTTTATTGAAAGTAATATGTGGCAGTAAGTTATTGTATAATATTAAGACATAGAGTATTTGCAAGAATGATAGCAGCAAATCTAATTTGAAATACAGATTGATCAAAAAACTAATAACAGCAGCAAGTCTGACTTAAGATATAGGTTTATTATAAATTCTGAACCATTGTTAAAAAACTTTAAAAAAAATAATAACAAATATACTAAAGATAAAAGATTATAAAACTCAAACATTATGTAAAAGACCAAGATAATAACAATTAGACCCAACATATAAGGCAGACTTTGGTACCTTGCACAGCAGTAAAAGCTAAGCATATAGTAACTGACCTTGTAGAAAACAACCTCAAAAGGGGGATGTCTAAAGTGGGGGCAAATTCACGTAAAAATAATAGTTACTGTAATTGGCCAGTTATAATAAAATCTGTGATTGGTCAATTTGTTAACTTTGATTTCTTGAATTTTTGGCTAGTTGGTCGATTTGTCAACTTTACATTATTATGCATCATCATGCATCTTTTTTATTTTTTTGAATCACAAGAAATTTTTTGACCTTTGTAAGATGACATGTTTTTCTTTTTGTTACTTATAATGAAGTTCATAAGTAATTTTTTTGTTTTTTTGTAAGTTCTTTTTTTTCACAAACTGAAATTAATCTGACAACCAAACTCTAAGAAAGCACATTTTATTGCGTAATTTTTTTTTTTTTTTTGCGCAATTGTTTTTTTACACAATTTTTTTTTTTTTGCACAACCTTTATTTTTGCACAATTATTTTTTTTTTTTGCACAATCAAATTTTTTTGAATATAAACTTTCTTACATATTTTATAATACTGGTTTCTGAGACTTGGTTTTTTGCATCTTGTATCGATATGTAAATATTTTAGTAGATTTGGTTTTATTGTTGAAAGTACTACTTTTACTAACTTTCTTTTTTATTGAGATTAGTGAGAAGAAAAAAAAGAATAAAAAAAACAAAAACTTTTTTTACTTTTCAGTTGTTATGTCTGTCACTTTTTTGAGTGTTACATTTTCTACTTCTCTAAAGATCACGCCTGCTATTTCTTCAGATGTCATGTCTACTGCTTTTCCAGATGCTATGTCTACTATTTTACTGGATGTTATGTCTGTTGCTTCTATGAATATCAGGCCCATATTCTTGGCCTCTGTGGACATTTCTCCTTTAGTTGTTACAACTTTAAATCTTTTACCTGATGAAAAACGATGTTTATTTTATAATGTAAAGGGTTTATTGGAAATTCCAATAGATGATTTTGATAATAATAGGTGGCCATTAGTTTCTAATATTAGGACAAAATGAGATTCATATAAGCATGCAAATGGTGATATTCAAAAGGTTTTTGCCTGCCATTTTATGAAACACCAGGAATCAAGTACTCAAAAAAAAGAGAATATTCTAAATGAAAAGCATTGAATAATAAAAACAAGACCTTCTGGTCTATGCCATGCAAAGCTTAAAGTTTCTTGGTTAATTACTTCAAAAGTAGTCCAAGTAGAATGATATAAAGGCTTTTTTGATTACATGCATTCCTTGGAAGAAAATTATAGGATAAAGCAGTCAAAGGCCATTAGAACTTTAGTTGAAAATGAGGTAATAAAAAATTATTCACCTCCAGAAATCACAGCTGCCATCAAAGAATATGCAGCAATTAAGTTAGATCTTGGCGCAAGTGTCGTGAGCTAAATTATAAAGAAGTAATGAACATTAAATATAAGGTTCGTAGGCCTATAGAAGCCCACCTTATTGGAAGTTCAAATCTAAAATTAGATATTTCAGAAGTCACAACTTATTTAAAAAACTAGGGATATCTTGTAGAAAATTATGATGTACCTCAGCAGTTCACTAAAGGTGTTTGTTCACGCATCCGGAGCAACTTAAGAAACTTGAATGTTACAGCTGGTTAATATTGATAGATTCGATGCATAAAACTAACCGGTATAATTGGCATCTGTTTACTCTTTACATCTGTGATACTTTTGAATATTGGAATGTGGAAGCTCACTTTTTCGTAAGTAATGAGGATGAAAACACAATTGCTAAGGCATTGTTAATTATTAATAATAAGTATTGTCGCTGGTCCCCTTGTTATATGCTTTTAGACCAAAGTAACATTGAGGCTAAAAGTATTAGACAAGTTTTTCCTAGTATAATAGCTGGTAAACAAGAGTGCCAAATAATTCTTTGTGTTGTTCATTTTATGAGAACTTGGATGCAAAAAATTTATGAAAAAAAGATCTAAGATATTATGATTGCAGCAATGCACAAAAAAATGAAAATTGGCTGTGAAAGCCTTGTTCAGGACACTATCAATTCCTGCTCAGTTTCTACTTTACAAAACTATATTAAAAGAAATTATGCAAAAAATACATACCAGTAGGGCATGTGGGCCCATCAGCACTCCCCTTTGCTTTTGCAAGTTACATCAACAAACCTGTTGGAATCTTTTCATAGTGAATTGAAGAGAATAACTTCACTGTTATACAGTTTAATTAGTAAACAAGTTTTTTTATTTTATTTGTCTGCTCTTATTCAAGAACGATGATTTTCTGTACAAAATGTAGTAGAGATTTTTAAAATTAGATTGTAGATGAATTTTTATAGAAAGCAGGATTAATTTTAAATAAAATTTTTTTTTTAAAAAAAAATTTTTTAAAAAAAAACTTAAAATTTTTTTTTTATTAGGAAAACAATTTTTTCATAGAAATAATTTGGGTGGGTAGAGTTTTTTAAAAAAATTCAATGAAGATAATTGGGTGAGAGTGTGGTTTTTTAAAAAAAAAATTTGAGAACGATACAGGCGAATTTTTCTTAAGTTTTTTGCAATAAATTATCATTCCTGTATCGACCTTTTCATTATTATTGTTTGCTTTTTTTAATACATTTCTTATTTGCTTATTTATTTTTTTTAAAGGTGCCATGCATAGCATTGTTAATGTTGATTGTAAAAAAAGGTCTGATTCTGAAAATGCCACCTTTGACTATCATATTAAAAAAGTGTCTGCTTATGGTGTTGAAGACAAAATTCTTAAGGAAATCTACAAGTTTCCACTTTCATTTCAACATCTACTTATTAAAGAGGCCTGTGCTGTAATAAATAGACTTGAAAAAAGAAAAGGTGTGCCAGGTTTGACCTCTCTCGATTGTCACTGTTTGTTTCACAATTAATATTTGTTGCTATATAAGCATATTTTTTATGAACACATGTATGGTAATAACTTGTTAACTGCTGATGTATGGAAAAAGTTTCAAGAAATGTTTGAAGAAAGTGGGTTTGAGGTGTATATAAGTTGGGAATCATTGGTGAAATATGTACAGAGTGAGCAACAAAGAAGTGCTGAAAATCGAAGAATTGCAGTAATTGAATTGACTGAAAGAGTGCATGATAAGTACTGGTATATTGAAGAAATGAGCAATATTGAAAGGGTGGAATCTTATATTTCTATATTAGAAGCCTCCTTAAATCCGATTATATTGCAATTTAATTAATTAAATATAAAAATTGTAATGATTATATGTTTGATATTAATAAAGATTTACATAAATATTAAAAGTTTTCTTGAATTTAATATTTAATTTTTTTGATTGGAACTTTTTTTTATTAATTTTCTTTTTATTACAGTGATTTGTTAAAATCTCATTTTATTTTTATTTATTTCATTATTCTATTTATTTTTGATTAACATATTTTATTCTTTTTTTTATTCACAATCAGGATCTTTTTACTGAAAAGTTCGAAGATAAATGTTTTACTTATTATTTTTATTTACTGTTACTCTTTTCAGTTACATGAGTTCACTGTTTAATCAGAAGTCTTTGCAGCAGGTTTGTTGGTGCAAGCCAAATTTTGGTGGCATGCAAATGGAATTCCATTAATTTATATAGTAATTTAATGTCATGCCAGTGGCATACTACTAAAATGTTGCTTGTGCCAACTCTACTTAGTATTATGTTTTTTTATTAGTTTCATTTTATTTCGTCAGTTTAGTTAGTGACCAGTGCAAGGCATTTATTATTATATAATATCTTTTATTTAGACTTATTCGTGCGATTTTAGTCGATGTGTATAAGATCTTTATTAAATAATGTGTTTAAATTTACTATTTAAGTTAACACTAACATTTTATCATCATATTCATTTAGGCTCATTCGTGTATAAATATAAAGACCTTTTATTTGGTCGGCATATTTAAAACTGCTACTCAGGTTCATAATCAAACACTACCTCTCATTTAGTTTTATCTGTGTACTTTACCACCACATTTATTTAGGTTTATTTGTATGAGTATAAAAATCTTTTATTAGTTGATGTATTTAAAATTAATATGTATGCTTATGGCATTTACCATTATACATACCTCTTATTTAGGTTCATTCATGTAATTTGGTTAGTATTAATCAATGTATTTAAATTTTTAAATTTGCTATTCAAGGTGATAACATTTTACTATTACATTTGTTAGTTTAAGGGTACTCTCAAGCAGCTCCATCAAAGTAATCAGCTGGTAATGAGATCGCACATAAGCACTAGAATTAATTGAGGTAATCCTTACGGCAATTTTGCTGAAGGTTCATAGTGTGAAATTCAGATCTTAAATTTTAGCTAATAAATACAATCCTGATAAAAAAAAATGTTTAGACCTTTTTTTTCATTACGATGACGAGCTCACTTGACTGTTCAAATTATTTTTCACTAATTAAAAATTGAGCTCCTATCTATTAATTAGATGCCTAAGAGCACCTTAATTTATTCATGTTGATTTTGTTGGTGAGTATAAGAACCTTTATTGATCAATGTATTTAATTTTGCTATTTGAATTCACAAAATTTACTATTATAAATTCTTCTCACTAAAGATCTTTTATATTTAATTTTGTATTCTATTCTTAGAGTTTACTATTACAAATCTCATTTGATTTTATTCGTATAATTTCATTCTAACATTTTTATAATTATCACTCATTTGTTTTATTTTGTTCATGTTAATTTACTATTCAACATTAATGAAACTCTTAATAAGACTCAGTGCTGTTGCAATCCTAAATGATAGTTGGTGAATATGAAAGTTTTTTATTTATCAGCATATTTAATCTTGCTACTTAAAGTTTATATAATTCACAATCTCACTATATTTTTCATTTAGGTTCATCTGCATTATTTTATACTAACATTTTTACCATTACACTAATCACATTAATTTACCATTTGACGCTATATACAATGCCTCTAAAATACTTTTTATATAATCTATCCTCAAGTATAGTGTGTTATCTAAAGACATCCGAAATTATATCTCAATAAATCTTTAAAGGCTAATAATCAGCAAAATACTATTTGACTTGGTGGTTTCCCAAAACATATCATTCAAATTACTAAAATGGCACAGATTTGATGCAAATAGATAATTTGCACTATATAACCCCAGTTCCTCTCATAGTATTCATAGTGCTATTCAATTTAAAATAAAGCTCTTAAATAATACCTGAATACTAAATGATAGTTAGAAAGTATAAAATTTTTTTTATTGATTTATGTATTTATTTTTGCCACTTGAAGCTCACAAAATTTATCATCACACAATATTTTTTATTTAGATTCATTTGTGTAATATTATTTTTTAATATTTATATATTTTTTAATGTGACCAGATTAGCTTTAGCTTTTATATGAACGAATTAAGTTTTACTATTACTATATATTTTGTTTTTATTTATTTATTTTTTTAGTTATTTTTTATTTAATTTTATTTATTTTTTTATTTATTTTTCTTTTATTTTTCTTTTATTCATTAATATAGTTGTGGGTATATGTAAATATTTAATAATCGGTGTATTTTAATATTTTTTATATTATGTTTTCTTTTTAATAAATAAATAAATATTATATTTTTTAATATATATTTTTTAATGTGATTACTTTAGATCGAATTATTTTTTTATTATTGCTATATATTTATATTTATTTTTTAATTTTCTGGCCAATTATAGTTGTTATTTTTTATCCAATCTGATTAGTGTACATGAATTTGCCTCTGCTTTAGATGACCCCCTTAGAAGATCATTTTTAATATCTTTAAGCTTCTATAATCTTTATATATGTTTTAACAAATTCTTTCTTAATTATAACTTGCCACTTCTTCTCTATAGCCAAACTATTTAATCTTTTATAAAATATATTAATAAATATAATTACAATAACACTGTCTTTAACATTACTTTTTCTATTAGCAATACCTATTATGAAATCTATATATATCTTTCAAATAACTTTTACCTAATCATACTATCATTTATCTCTATCTTTTCTTTATCTTTTACAACCTTTCTCTCAGATCAAGTTTCTCTAATTTTACTCTTATTCTATTTAACTTATTTCTTAATAGTTATACTACATCACAAGTATTTACATCTATATAATCTTTATGTAATCTTTATTAAACATTTGTATACACAATGTTAGAAGTTATAATACAGTAACTAAAAGAGAAGTGTAGCAAAATTATTGTTTTCACAATAATATCCATGTTTTCTGTATTACTGAAACCAAAATTTCTAACAGTACTAATTATCAATTTTATAATAAAAACCTATTTACTTACTTCTGAGTCAATTCAAAAAGCTTAGCAGAAGGTGTTGTCATTATAATTCAAATATATTTACAACTACATATATACAACTGCCAAACACACTCTGGTGAAGCAATTGCTTTAGATCTCTTTTTTAAAAGTAAAATTAAACTCTGAATTATAACTATCTATCTCTCTTCTATTAATATGCAAAAATGTAACAATATACAAAATACTGTTATAATATAAATCTAACAAGCTTTTTAATACAATTTTCATCTAATAATACTTGAAGACTTTAATACATATGATAATATTTGTAGCTCATTATCTAAATTCAAACTTATTAATTATTTATACTATTCCAACATGTTTGATCTTGGTATACAATTAACAACAAGCACTTTACATAATCAAACAATACTAGTTACAGTTATATTAACTATATCTAGACTGATTTATTCAATATTTAATTTTTCTCTCATATAAACTTAATAATAGCAATATCTTAACACTTAGTGATTACTCTATTTTTATATTTATCTGAACTTTACTAATACATATAGCAAACTTTACATCATTATACTGGTATCAGTCACAGAAGCTTTAACTATAAAGCTATATCAACTAATAAATAAACAGAATTCTTTGCCCTTCTTTCTTATAATCTTAGTCTTTACAATATATCATTAAATAGTAATACTAATAAAAGTATTAAAACTACCTGATATAAGATTAAACAATTAATAATTAATATTGCAATAAACTCTATTTCTAACAAAAAAACTTGTAAACATAGCTACAATTATTAATATTTCTCTCATTTTACTTTACTTTATACAACACTTAAAGAGTTTGAATATTTGATAAAAATTGTTAAAAATATTCACAATAATTTTAATATGAATATAATAAACTCTAGAAGTAAGACTATTAATAACAGATCCTATTGAGATCTTTAAACTCTTAATTCAGATAACTATTCTCAAATTTATGCATAGATCTAATATGCACAAAACATCTGAAAACAATAATATTATGCCCATTATACAGAAAACTCATTATTACTTTATTAACAAATTCAACAAGCAACTGAAAAGAGATATAAAACACTTGCAACATATTTTAAACAAGCTATTAACAGTATTCTTAACTAATACAAAGCTTTTATTCACTTTTCTAATATTAAACTTCCTGACTAACTTATTACAGACTCTATATTTATAAAACAGTATATACAATCTCACTTTTATGACTGAACTGCATATCAACTAATTGACCAAACACTGTTTGACAGCTTCTGATATACACAATATTAACTACAATCACATATCAATATTCAATGATATAGCTCTCTTAACTCTTTTATAATAGAAAAAAAAGTTCTATAAACTTTGTTAAAACTTTTTAATAGAAAAATCTACAAACCTACAGGTATCAACTATAAAATGCTTAAACATGTAGGCACTATTTGTATTAAAGCTATTACAATTCTATTAAATTATTGCTTTAACTCAAATCAAATTTTTAAACAATAAAAACACTGCAGAATTTATTTAATTCTAAAACATAATATATTTAATAGCAACTTAAGCCTTACTTGTCCTATTAGTCTTATTAAACATATTCAAAAAGTCTATATAAAAATTATTACTACTAGAATCAGTATTGTATTTTCTCAACATCCTATACTTTTACTATACAATTATATTGCTTTACCTAATAACAGTATATTTATATCAATTCATATACTTAATAATCTTATTAAAGATGCATCATGCAACAACAAACCAATTTGGCTTTTATCTCAAGATATGAGTAAAGCATATAATTTAGTTAATCTTACTTTTCTTTAAAAATCTTTACAATGCTTTGCTTTTCTTTACTTTATTATAAATACTATTACTAACATTCTTTATAATTA